CTCGGAAACAAACCATAAAAACAAGAAACTGAAAAATAAGCTACACTATAGCTTAGAGTTCTTTCCTTTAAGAAAATAAGAAATTTCTTTTCATATACATCTTTGAGCAATGAGATATAGAAATATGATTATATAAGTGGGATAAAACCATTAAAACAGACAATTTGATTGGCTAATGCGCGTGCATTGTCACGCAATAATGCACTGTGGTCCGCCGCTTCATCTCTGCTTTTAGCCAAAAATATAAACAAAACTATAGACTATACTATACTATACTATACTATAGAGCTTTTAAAATACAAAATTTATCAGAAAGCAAGAAGGAATAGACCAAAGACACAAAGCAAATTTATCTATATATATCCCAGCTAGCACATAACGTTATTACAACGTTGGTAAAAGGTTGTTGCAAAGTTAGATCTAACTTAACTTTCACACGACGTTCACACAACATTACTTTTCTATCCGGAATAAGAGCACGTGGTGTAAACGTTGGTTTAACGTTGAAATCTAACGTTCCAGGATGTCATGCGACACCTTCTTAGCAATGTTAGATTTCAACGTTGTAGCAACGTTAATGTGTAACGTTTGGACGTGACATCAAAACAACGTCGTAGACAACGTCGTCCTGACGTTAAGATTTGATATTTTCGCAACGTTCCAGGATGTCATACGATATCTTCATAGCAATGTTAGATTTTAACGTTGTAGCAACGTTAATGTGTAACGTTTGGATATGACATCAAAACAACGTCGTAAACAACGTCGTCTTGACGTTAAGATTTGATATTTTCGCAACGTTCTAAAAAAATTAAACATATGTCTTCTATTGTTGAACCTGACAGTTAAACTATAGGTATAAAACCGCATCAGGCCATATGACTTCTTATGCCTATTCAGCAGAAATCGCGAGGAACGTCGCCTTGGTTAGTTCTTACTGGAAATTTTGTCCTGAAAACGTTTTATCCAACTGATTTTAAGCCAGACAGTATGCCTTTGTATTTGGCAGCTTATCAACAACTCGCCAAATATGGTAATTCTGACCATATATACGTAAAGTGTTTGCGCCGCGGGCAAATTGAAAAGATTACACCATTGTTCTTGGCTTGCGACGCAACTGAGATGTATGCTGACTCTGTAATCTCATCGAAGCTGCTGTATATTTCAGAAGAACTCGCTCGTCTGTTTTGTTTTCGATGTAAGTATATATATTGTATCTGTAACATTTGAAACTTCCATGTGTCTATCAGTCTCATGTACGGAAAAAAGGCGAACAAAGTATATTTATTTTGATATGTGTCTGCATGTTTGTTTGACGCCATATTAATTTACATTTTACAGCGCCTCTGTTGAATCGAAGATGTATTTCAGGAGTACTCGTTCATTTGTCAATGAAATCCAAGAATGACTAATTAGTATACTGTATATATTAAATATTGAACTGCCTGTGCCAGTGTAGGTGGGGATGCAACTGCCTGAAACTACATAGTATATAACGAGAACTAGAAGAATTGTGACGTTTCGAAATTTTCCTTATATTGTTCAGGTAATTCTGTAATTTAAACTACAGACTATTATTCAAGCACAGTAAGTCAGTATTACGTACGTCTATTAAGGTAATAAAATGCGGCCTAGAAAAAGTTCTGTCGCACAAGATTGTTCAGGTAGTTACATCCCTACCAACGAAAGCTTGTTCGTATACTGAATTAAATATTATTGTCAATATTCATCCAAACTATAAATTGGATCAGTAATTTTAGCCTATATTATTTGTAAATGAAGCTCTTTCCTTAAATAAAATGATTAAATCAAAGACTTTAGTCAATTGTTCTAACGTTGATCCTAACGTTGTCACAACGTTCCTGCGAGTTCACAAAATAACGTTACTACAACGTTAATTTTCAACGTTTTCTGGACGTTAATCAAACGTTGTGAGAACGTTGAACCAACGTCGTGTTCTAACGTTAATCAAACGTTGTAAGAACGTTGAACCAACGTCGTGTTCTAACGTTAATCCTGACGTTGTCACCACGTTCCTGCGAGTTCACAAAATAACGTTACTACAACTTATAATACCAACGTTATCTCCACGTTCGGCGAACGTTCGTACAACGTTGGCACAACGTAATTGTGCTAGCTGGGATATATGGCGCTTTTTCGGGTTCAAAATGCAATACTTTAAATTTGTCGATATCTGTCTTTGGAAGAGTAGCTATTTGACGTGTATATATGAATTTGTCGAATAAAAGTTCCATAAATTCTTGAATTTGTCGAATTAAAATAAACAACTGTTCATGACTTCGTCGATTGTTTAAATTCTTCGATAATGCCTTGCGACCTTGGGGACTTGAGCCCGCAGATCTCAAAGTATTAATAAAGAAAATGAAAACGTCATTTAATTTTACAT